GGTGACGTCGCGCGCGCGGTGACGTCACGCGCGCCTCGCGTGTGCGACGTGGCCTTCCCCCGCCGCGCGGCTGCCTGTAACGGTCAGCGGGGACCAACGGTAACGGCCGCGCCCCCCCGGGACGGGGACGGGAACGGGAACGGGGAACGGGGAACGGGAACGGGGAACGGGGAACGGGAACGGGGAACGGGAACGGGCCCGTGGTGGGGCTGAGGCCAGTGTAGCCCTTAAAGCCGTGGCGGGGGAAGGCGGCGGCGGGGGTTAAGATACATACATACATATATATATACATATATATATATATATGTGTATATATATATATATACACACACACACATATATATATGTGTATATATATATATACACATGTATATATATGTGTATATATGTGTGTGTGTGTATATATGTATTTTATATATATATAAAAAAATCTGTGCACAGTGCGACTGTCTTTTCAAACTCTGATTATATTATACTGGAATATGAGATTTGAAATAACCTGAGGATTTTCTTTTTTTTTTTTAACAAACCTTTTAAAAATTCTTTTATGAAATCCTCTGCAAATCTTGCGTTTTACTATTCCTTACGCTTCCGTAGAGCCGCCTCTCTCTCGTTATGTGTGGCACTGCTGATTCCCAGTCTGTTTTGTCTTCGCAGGAAGCCATGGATCAAGTGATGCAGTTTGTGGAGCCCAGCCGCCAGTTTGTGAAGGACTCCATACGGCTGGTGAAGAGGTGCACCAAGCCCGACAGGAAAGGTAGAGCTCCTCGTAGAGCAGCGCCCGCTGCTCGCCGCTGCCCCGGGGGGTTCCTTTACGTCTCTGTTTCTCTGCTTCCCATGGGAAAGTTAAACTTGGGCAGTTCTCCCATTTTTAATGCATTTATAGGTCTGGGTGTAATCAAATGTTGAGAATTTCCTTTGATATTCTCTATGGTTGTGGAAAAWGTTTTTTTGGGTTGGTACATGTGTTGGAGGTTGTTTTCGAGATCAATGAATGTGGACAAAAGTTATGGAATATCTTTTTCATAAATTGTTACAGACTGTGGGTGTTTGTAGTTCAGTCTTCTTAATAAAAAAAAATCAGCTGTGTTTTGAAGAAAGCAGCATTTTTTTTTCCCCCTCTCAGCATCTTCTCTCTCCTCTGAGCAAGTCTATTTGTTTCTCAACCTTGATGTGCCCTGCACTTAAACTTCCTTCTGCATTAACCATTTTGTATGGGGAGGTCCTGCCCCGGTCTCCTGCGTGCCCCGCGCTGGCTTCCTCACTGAGCGCTCTTTGGGTTTGCTCCTGCAGAGTTCCAGAAGATTGCGATGGCAACAGCAATAGGCTTTGCGATAATGGGATTTATTGGCTTCTTTGTCAAATTGATCCATATCCCAATTAACAACATTATTGTGTAAGTAAATAGCAAGTTTCAGTTTCACCATGTTTTACACTGGCTTTTATCATTCCWGTTCAAAGCAAAGGTTTTCAGATCCCTACTGGATCCGGTATCTGTGGATTTCGCACTGCATTGTAATATGACATTCATTACTCGATAAATATTCAAAGAACTCGATTAATAAGTAGGACATTAATTTCAGGTTAGTTACTTAGCATGCTGCACAATATTGGACCCCTGTAGTTTTCCAGTCTCTCCATGAACATCGGCTTCAAAACTGAGTATCAAATATTCTGTGCTCTGTTACTGAGTCTATGTTATGCACAGAACAGCTGCCTTTGGATCTTGCATCCTCCTGCTGTTTCTAATCTATAATTTGGGTTTCCAAAATACACACAGGGAGGGTAACACAGAAAACTCCGTGTGTTGGAAGAAGGCAATGCACAAAACAAAACTTGTATTGTTTCAGTTAATAAAATAGACATAGCTGATGCCTTTTTTGTGTGTTACATATAACAGCATTCTGTAAAATAACTTTAAGAATCACAGACTGTTCAGTGGATTGGCAGCCACAGTACAGACATTTTAACAGTCTTGATGAAAACTGCTCAACTTCTTCAGAGCAGGTGTAGTAGCTTTTATAATACTACATTAGGCAAAATACTGTGCTGTGCCCATAAAACTCAGCTGACCTGTGCCTGCAAGATCCTTACCCTCCAAGCAGGAGAGACGAGCTTTAATCGTCCTAGTGTTAYCCTATCTGAGCAAAGCAGTGTTGGGGGCTAAACTAGACTTAAAACGGGATTAAAAACCACTTTGTTAATTGAAATTGATTACTCTGTTCTCTCAACAGTGGCGGCTGAACAATCATCAGGAATTCTGGGATGCTTGCTCCAAAAACTTCACAACTTTGTAACTTGTTTACTGTTATTAAACAGCTCAGTTTGGGATTTCAAACATTCTTGAGATTTTTCTCTGTTTTCAAGCTTACATCTGTCTACATTAGACTCTTTAGCAATAGAGTCTTCCTTGTTCCTTATTTTGGTTGTGCAGGAGTCGCTCAGGCCGAAAGGATCTGTGAAGTCCTGAGTCCAGCCTTCTGCTCAAACCTGGCTCAGGGCTCRGGCCAGGCCGTCTAGGGCTTTGTCAGGTACTGAAACCCTCCAGGGACGGAGACTGCGCCGGTTCTCTGAGCAGCCTAGTTCAGGGCTTAATTTTCCTCTTAGTAAACAGCACTGTTCCAGTAAACGTAGGAAGCAAGAAAACAGTGTTACCTTAAATGTCCAAGGCGTAAGTGAAAAACCTATCAACTGGAATTCTTACCTTCATCTATAGAATCACCAACAATACCCCAAACTTATGTCTGCATTTGGAAGTTACTTTGCACTGTGTTACAGCACTTGAGATAAAAAAACCCAACAACAGATGATGCAAAAAAAATCCCCCAAACCTTTCCCTCAAAACAGGAACCGGCAACTCTGATTCCTATTTTGAATTAAGGAAAAGAATAAGAAATCTACTTTGTTACTAAAACTTCCAGCTTAAATGTAACTTATTTTTTCAGAGATATTAAACAGCCTTTCAGATAAGCAACAAACTTCAGACTGTTGGGTGGGGCATATCCAAAACCCATCAGTGAGAGGGTACCTGTGTAAGACCACYGCGCTGTTAGTTATTAAATTATTTAGAAATGGAGACTATCAAAACTGGTATATGCTAGCACTTCTTTTCCTCTCCAAAAGGAGGTTAGCAAGCTCACCTCACTCCAAAAATTAATGTAATTTTTCAGTAATTGTAGTAATAATTAGGTATTACACTTGTACTTTTATTGCAGACCTTTAACAGTACTCGGTACTRGGAGATGCTTGATACTGGCATTGCAACAGAGCTGGAGCTTCTTCAGTGCACCAGCTTCCTTTTATAAGTAGAAAGGTTAAATTATTAGTCCTCTGGGAAATCTTCAGCAACACGTGTATATATCATATGAAGCAGAACAGGAAAATGAGATTAACTGTGCTTACATTATCAACTTTTTGTGGAAACACTTTACTGTGCAAAAGCAGGAAAAAAAAAGCTCAGTGCTGCAACGAAGTACTTTGTGAAAATAATCAGTACTGACCCACCTAGCAGCAGTAGTTTTCCTTTTACACCCATTCTTACCTGTTTGTCATCATACTGGCTGACAGCAYGAGTGGTTTTTTTGAGTGGACAGTATGAGGTACCAGAATCAGGTCACTGTAGCTAAACTTGATTTGATCTCAACTGACTTTTATTTCAGGCTTTTTTTCCATTCACTCCATAAAATCAGTRCATGATTCTTTCCCTTGGGACGGTTCTGCTGTCTAGGTCCAGTGCATTTTTGCAGCAATTTGAAGGCAGTCAGGTAAGAAAAGGCAGCTGTAGCTCGTCTTACTCCTTGATAGCCATTGTCCACAGCAAAGGCTTGTCCGTCTCGACCGTTACCATCCCAGAGCGGTCGTAGGTGTTGGAAGTACTGACGAGCGTTCCAAACTTCAGCACGTGGTTTGCTGTGAGAAATGAGAGAGGAGAGACTTGGTGCTCTTGAAACAAATACAGTTATCAGCATTTGTCTGTTGTAAAGATTGCCTCCCCTCCTCAAGGAAAGAATAGAGCAGCTGACCAAGTTACCCCAGATAAACAACATCTAAGATAGTGATTTTAGATACTTGTTGGAAAGCTTCTAGAAAACTTTATCCGATGACCTCTGGAGGGAATAAATTAATAGTTAATCCCCAAGTTAGCATTTGCGTTGGCAGCAGATTATTAAAAATCATATTGTTGAATGCTCCCCAGAGTTTCACATCTTACTGTAAGTTTGTATTTCGTTTGCATCAGCCAAAGCAGGGCTGCTGGAGAGGGCATCGCGGGGAGGTGAGGCAGAGGATCTTGCTACAACTGCTAACGCTGTTTTCACTTTGGCTTGTAGTAGCAAGGATATAACCTCTTAAGATGTGAACAGTTCTGGAGCAAAGGCCAGGAACTGAAAGTGGCAGCATTTAGCAGCTTTCCTTTCAGAGTGATGTGGACTCGCYCCTTCTTGTCCTGTGTGTGCTCAGGTACTACGTGTCCACAATCAGGTACGTGTCCACAAGCAGAGGAAACAGAGCAGTGTTCTCCTAGCAAGTAGCTACTGTCAGCTCCAGGAGAGGACTGCATCACACAGCAATGTAACTGTAACTTGGAGTCATCCCTGAAGTTTTATCTGGCATTTCCTTCCTTTTGAAGGGAGAGAGAGACTCATGTAAACTTGTGGGCCATCCCATGGACATTCTAAAGCTCCGTGKTGTTCTTTGCTTGTACAAAGGTTTAGTGTAAGAACTCCAAGAGTTCTTTAAGTCTCTAAGGCAAGCCAAATGACAGGTCATATTAGCTGATGGCACTGAGGGCTACACTTCATGACGGATACAAGGAAAGCTGCAGCTGGGCAGAAGTGTCTAGGTAGAGCAGCAAGTGTGTCTGAAGGTCTGTCAGGACTGTCCAACTGCCCTTTAAAACTGGAGAGAGGCTCCTCTGGATCTGCTAGTAAACGGCCCAGCGCCAATGGAGATCCAGAGAGACTTGTATCAATTAAAGCTTGATTTGGGAACATGCAAGAGAAGAGTATTTCAATTGTGGAGTTGAACATGGGCCAATTATCTTGTGTATTTAGTATAATGCCTGTTGTGCTGTCCACCAGGGTGTGTAAATGGCAGAGCGGGGACTGATTCTGCCATGCTGTATGGCTTGAAAACGAGCAGAGCCTGACAGAAGGCAGGACAGACAAGGGGGCTCAGGGCCTGCTCTGCCAAATCTGCACTTGCAGCTAATTATTCCCCCTCCCGCTCCAGTTATTGGCCTGAAACAAATAAAAGGGGAAAAAGAAAAGGCTTAATCAGCTATCTGTATGTGCTTGAAATGAGAGGATAATGACTAAATTTCACTACTGCTTTACAATCCTTGAAGCAATTTAGGATTCCTGCTATTTGAATATTTTGGCCTTTTTTTTTTTTGGCGTAACTGCAATGCAGTGCAGAAGTTTAGAAGGAAAAAAATAAAGTATGAGATCAATTATGTGCCTAAAATAGCTAGGTTTGTGAGCTAGGTTTTACTGGGATGATTTTGGACCTAGCATGGTAAGTAGCTGGGTTTCTGGGCAAATGAGCTTTAGCTTTTGCCCTTCTGGACAGGACAGCAGAGGTGGTTCTGACTTTGTCTCACCTGAAGCTGAGGCCCAGGGAATCTGGATTTCACAGCTCACTGGTAAGTTACTTACTAAAATGGGGAACACAGGGAAAAAGTTCCCTGCGTAAAAATATTCCCAAAATATGACTGTATTAAGTTCTGTGATCAATTCGCAAACACATTTCAAGTAACTTTGAAGCAGTTAATTACTTTAAATGGTATAATGTATGCACTGACACMCACTTAAAATAACCATTTTTGGCTACCCATTTTGGGATGCTGTGTGTTAAAGCTGTAGCAGAAAAAAAAAGTCCTGAAGTCTGTGGATTAAAGTCTGTCTTTCTTGTGTAAGCCCGCACATTTAGGAACATTTATTGCTTTGTGCTTATGGYTCTCAGAATAATTAATCCCAACTGCTTCACCTTTGCATATGAGACAAGGGCAACAGATAAAAACAACAGAGCAGCTTAGTGAAACAAAAGCTAGAAGTACACCTTTGCATGCAGAATTAAGTAAAAACTTCACATTTTTTTTTTCAATATTAAAAATTCTTGCCCGCTAGATGGAGCCTTTTCTCTTTCTCAGCCAGGTTCTGTTCTGCACGAGGAACAGCCCTTGAAACGCTCAAGGGAAAATGACAAAAACTAGAGAACAATATTGCTGGTTCCCACAGCTCARTTTGGACAAACCCAAATTATTTGCTTTCACAAGCCGCCCCCGTTTGCGCTAGCATAATTAAAGAGGCACACCTGCAATGCAATCCGTGCACAGGAATTAATTTGGAAAAGGAAGTTTAAGCTGGTAATGCCAAGAAAGGMAGGTGCCTATTTCCTGCTTCCAGGAAAACTTCTTACCGTGTCGTGCAGCGGGACCCARTGGCTGCAAGGCCAAAGGAGGGGGAAGTCACCGAGCTTCCCACCTCAGCCCCTCCTTTTCTTTTTGTCTTTCAGACTAATTTAAGTCCTAGCAGCAGCTTGACCCTTAGAAAAATTACTCCCTAAGCTTATTCTCCTTGTTGTTAAGATTATTTTGCTATGAAATATAGCCCAACGAAAGCAATCTTTCTATGTTAGTCATTAATGGTTACAGTTTGGCTGGCTACAAGAAATGATTTTAATAAAGGATTTCAGACGGTGATATATTTTCATTCTAATCTGGAAAAGACCCCAGTAAAATTGTTCTCGACTTCTAAAGTAATTAAATTGTTTTGGATAAAACAGAAGCGATTTWTTTGAAAATGACAAGCTCTTCCCACTTCCAACTGTGTTACTTTGTTGTTTTTAAGCTAAAATTTCGCTTAGGGCATTGGTTTGGAACTATGTTTACTGATAATAAACCGCTCATGAAAAAAATATACTACCCAGCTCTTCCACTGTAGCTCCACTATTTTTCATTACTCTTTATCTGTAAAGTCAGCATGTCTTAGTGCTGAGTCTAGGTGGCCAGGCCTCCCCAGAAAACAGCAGGGGGTTACAGGTGGGGTTTTATTTATTTATCAGGTCTGAAACTGCAACTAAAAATAGTCTTTTGAAGTCTTCCTGACTCTGGATTTATRAACATGGACAGGGCTTATTTTGATGCTGTTGTGGAGGAACCTCTTTAGCAGTTTTCACTTCATGTAGCATGGGTGGTTGAATCCAGCAAAATTTCAAAGGTTGGAAGTAATTTAGAGAAGGGCTACTTGATGAGTTTTCAAAAAGAGCATAATCACAAAGATCAATATATTTACAGATACATTTCTCAGCTATTTCTTTTGTTGAGCAAACTACCTGTCAAAGGAGATCTTATTAACCCCGGGGCAGCCCTCTWCCGCTGTGTCATTGCAGTTCCCTCGACGCTTGCATGTTTTTTGCTTATTGATTTATTTATTTACTTTCCATACATGGCATTCTGAGGACATATGGAAATGTGGTTCTCRGAGGCAAGGATTTTGAAAGCTGGCAATTCTCACGGTTGCCAGAACAAAGTCTGGAAATGTGAACCAAATGCACCGTGTAGGTAATCAAGCCATGCATTAAGCAGCCAAAACCACTGCCAACAACGAGAACGAAAGTGAAAATTTATTTTGAAAGCCCTTTTCCTATTTATACCTCTGCCACGTGTGGGAGTTTTATATTCTAGTTGACAGGGCTGAAAATTAGATCTAAGCTTTGCTGTGATATTTGCTGCTGCTGACTTGTTTTCTCTTGTGCCACGGCCTTTCAGACTAGAAACAGTAAATAGCATGGGCCCTATTTTTATTTAATTAGAACTATATTAGTACTTATTGTTAGGTGCTATAAAACACTCTCAATATCAGGTGACTCCTCTTTATATCTCCAATTCTTGCTTTATTTTCTGGTAGGCTCATAAACATTATTCCTATGACTTCACTACACTATTTAAGATATTTAAATATAATGCTCATAGAAAAGAGCTTACATTAAGATCTAACACAAAGCTCGTAAGCTGCACTCAAGGAAGACTTGAGAGCGGCCCAGTCTGATCTATACAGAGGAGAAGCTTCCTTTTATAGTATCCTATATAGTAAGAGGAAATAACAACATTAATTGAAGTGGTTAATTGAAAAATCTGGCCCTTAACACTAGTTTCTACATTTGTACCACAAGGAAACAAAACAAAACAAAACAAAAAAGGACAGCAGAGATGCCTTAAACTGCAGTATCTAGTGGCTGGGGTGGAAAGGGCTGAGGTGGGACAAGTCCTTCCTTACCAAGGGGCAGACGTGATGAAGAAAGCGAATCGGGCGGGCGATGCCTTGGGAACACTCCCGCCTGGGGTCTCCATTCAGAAACCTCACGGTGTTGCCTTCCAAGCTGCACAAAATGAGACGCTTTTGGCAACCCCTTCAGTTCAGCAGCACAGCACAAGGGCTCCTACCGACGGGACCCTCACCCGCAGACCAGGGTCTTGCTGTGACCGGGTGCCCCGAGGACAAACCCGTCCTGGCCACAAGCAGAGGGGGCCCTGTGCTGCCATCCGTGCCGTTTCTCACACTCCCGGCAGTGTCTCCTATCTCCAGTATTCCCTAAGACATGCAAAGTCACACCTTGCCGGTTTCCCTCAAGGAACAGAAACAGGGACAAGAGTATCTGAGCAGATCGCCACCGCTGGCACGGGTATTTGCAATATCAAAATAATTAATTAAAAGCTGTATTGTAATGAATGTAAGCCTCTTTCCCTCTAGGCAAACAGTGCATCAAAATGATAGAAAATTAAGATCAATAAGCTGAAACACTAAGTTATAGTGAAATATTGAATTACCATTTGGTATCTTATTACCAGTTTATCTGGGGAGGTTTTCCCTGAAGTTCTGTGTTAGGAGCAAAAATCTGCATTTAAATGG